GCAGGTAGAGATTTTAGCTGCTCAAAAGCTATGAAATCCAATTATTACACCGGTGTATGAATGAAAAACAAGTGAATTTGGGTAAACTTATATTTTTTTTTTACCGGGTTTAATGACACGCTTGTTGACGAGTGCTCCAAATGAGAGATTCGTTATTGGGCCTGAATCCGTGACGCAAATAGCCAACACACATATAACTTGTGGCGATGCTAATAATAACGCATTTATTGGCCATGCGACGGACTGCTTTTCAATGCAAATGCAGCACAGATTTTATGTCGTACGTTTCTCTTTTATGTATGTGTGTGTGTATATTATAAAAGCACAAAGAAAAAATATATTAATGATAATCACAATTTCATGTACATAATTATCATTATATTATACCACAGATGAAAGAAAACCAGACAGTGCACTATTAAAAGACAAACTTTTATAATCTCAGGTCAGTATGGTCGAAAAATAAAAAAAATAAAATACAAAGAGATCGTCTAACATGTTACTATAATAGCTCGTATGCTACAGTGAAGTAAACACAAGGACTACAACCAGTATGACCACACAAAGGGGAAAAACAAATTTTCATTGTGATAAAATACATGTTTGTCTAGGCAGACTGCAACAGCTGTAGCGCTTTAATTTTTCGGTTCTCCTGTTTGTGGATCTAAACCGCCAGATTCCACTCCCGGCAAACTAACGGGACGCAAGTCCACCCTTCTTCCCACCTCTCCCCCCCCCCCCCAAAGACCTGCGGGATACATAATATTATAATAATTATTATATTGTGTTGGTGCACAACACAACGACAGTCGTTCGTTACATTGTACAGTATACATATACGGGGATAAATACAAGACAAAACGCCATAGGTGCCTCGCATAACTCAAACGCTGCAAAAGCTATTATATTATTACCAACAACAACAACGGCAAGTGCAAAAGTCGGTGCCAGGAAAACGTCGCGACTATAATGCGAAACCCTATACGGTGTTAAGACACAAGCCTACTCCCCTTCTCATCTTGCCACCCCTCGCCGCCGTTTAGAATATATTATAATATATACATACATAATATTATAATGTAACGGTACCGGATAGCACCGGATTTTATGTCGGCCGTACACGTTTTTATCGCATGCCATTGTTAATGAGTTTATTATTTCGTTTCACTTACACTGTTTTTGTACGGTAGAGTAATAACTATTCGGTCCAATAAAATGTTTGGTTATTGAAAAAAAAAAAATAACCACTTAATATTTACAAATAACGCGATCGGTATTTGTGATGTTTTTTTATTTAAAAATATGCCCAACTGATGATGTAGACTGTGCAACACTTGCTTGATCAAAATATATAGATACTTCTTTGCTGTGTTGCTATAGGAGTTAGAAAATGTTAGTCTAAAGATGTTTTATTGAGATATTACCTATACAATGTGCTATTGAGGGCTCTTATTTTTTTTTTTTTTTTAGTGTTCTATTTCTGTTTTTAGTTTGTACACACGTTAATCTCAGTATGATTGTGTGACTGTATATTTTTGTTACTTATTACTTGTAAATAATTGTTTTTTTTTTTTATTACTGTTAATCAGAGATGAAATCAACCGAGCCATAATATTTCAAAATAAAGGCTGTGTAAAACGAAAAAAACAATCTAATGTTTCACAACGATTTATAAATGTACACATATGTAAAAACATATACATACATACTTAATATGTAAAGCAGAGAGAGAGGTAATCATTTCTAGGCCCGCTGGAAATCCCGTTAATGGCCGTATGTGTGTACAAAGAGGGTTGGACGCATGCTCGCGGGGAGGGGGAGGGGGGTTGAACAATTCACAGGGCGGGTGAGAGGGCGGCGGCGGTAGTAAGGGGTGGCACGGCAGCGGCACCGGTGACGGCGGCGGTGAATTCGGCCGCACAGTGTCGCTCGGTGCGCTCATCCAGCCGCGGTGTCCGTGTGCGCCCCCCACAGTGTCCGTGCGCGTATACACGGATAGTGTACGTCCGACGGGTATGTGTGCGCCGCGCTACTGTTGTACCGCGTCGGCCTAACGGTGCGCGTGTACGTTTTGCAATTTCGTCTCCGGCCGGTGCGTCTGCGGGGGCGTTGGACGGCGCGCGTTGGTGTACAACGGAAATCTTATACGATAATAATAATAATAATAATACTAATAGTAATATTATATACATATATACGTAAGCGGTCGCGGGCGTCCCGACGTTTGTTCGCGCGTCGCCGTCGCCGTCGTTGGGTGTGCATCGTGTCCCGCGTCCGCCGTTGCCGGTTAACGCCCGCGTGCGCGCGCGTGTGTGTGTGGCCGTCCGTCAACGAGCGTTACGAGCGCGTGTGCGCGTCTGCGGCCGTGGCCGTCGTCCACGAGCGGATCGGCGTCTTTCTTATTCTTCTTCTTGTTCTTCTTCGTCGCGACAACCCCTTGCCGGTCAGGGTGTGCCCGCAGCGGTCGTTGCCGCAGCCGCAGCCGCCGCCGACGCTACTTGTACCGCCGCCGTCATGATGTCCGCAGACGAGACCGGCGACGACGGCTGTTCTTCCGGTTGCGTCGGCCGGACGCCGCGGTCGCCGTAAGGCGTCCGGCCCGGGTCGCGTTGCCGCCGCATGTGCACTGCCGTGCGGTGCCGCGTCTGATGCTGCTGGCGGGCCGAACATCCCAACGGGACCAACATTTCCCGGATCGAGTTCGTTGAGAAATGGGGGCTGACCCCTGTCCTCAAACCGAGACAGGACCCACGCCCCCGGGGTGCCAGCCTGGTAGACGGTGACGATGCCGGAAAGTACGTTCCGCCGCGTGTGCGATGACACCCGTACCCACACACCCGTACCCACACCTTGGACACCCGTTTCGTGGTCGAAAGAAAATTTACAAAATGCGTTTGGGGCTTTTTTTAATTTTGATTTTCAGTTTGTACTACTTACAATGATGACAATTAAATTTGCCATTTTCAAGTGTACTGCACGTGGTTCGTTGAAATACATTTGAAAAAATTCATCTATGGCTTTCTGTCGTTGTGTATTCTAATGAGACATTCTGCGCATACATAATGCCGTTTACTTCTGGTCTGTTTGCTAAGAACGCCATCGTCTCATTACCATACCGAGTCGGTGTGTGCCACTGTTCAATGTTGTTTTATTTGTCGATAAATTATAATAATGGTATATCCGGCTCGAACAGTACGCTTTTCCGGTTAATTAAACACAATACTCCAGAGGGTCGTCTGCTCTCCTAATGGAGGCGACAAGAAAAAAAACCACTCTCTCTCTCTCTCTCTCTCTCCGTCGTTTAATATTTTATGTTATTTTTCACTCTGCCCTTATCGTCGGATGCAATAATAATATTGTTATTATCATAAAAACAACGTTGGAAGCGTTTTGTACTTTTGACAACAGCGTATAGCTTTGCAGTTGTCCACACTTGCTGTGCAGGCTGGGATAAAATAAGTAGTAATTTATAACAGTAAATTCGGTTTGAAAATATATGTTGATCAATTTTTTTCGGATTGATCGTTTCTGTTCGTTATTATGAATGCGTTTGTATATCATACGAATAGGCTGATCATAGGTTATAGGTTGTTGGTTAGGTTATGCTGTTGTCAGGTCGAAAATCGTTACTGATGAAAACCAAAAGAGTATCATAGCAGACAAGGTCTTGTTCGGGCAGTATTTTGACGTGTCCAAGATTTTTTAATATATTTTATTTTAGAAGATATAAAAACAAAATAAACATAATTTATGTATAAAAATACATTAAAGACATTTTTATTTTGTTCACCTTTAAATGTTGATAATATATTTTACTAACGCGTCATTAAGTTTAATGTTATTTTTTTTTTTTAAAGAATGTTTATTATTTAATATATATTTTAAAACGGGTAAACTTAAAAAGATAATATTTAATTTCAAAAGTTTTCGAACACTCCATTAAGTAACTTATGTTCATAAATTACTTTTATTTATTTTTGTTTTTTTCTTCTCACTTTTACAAGAGTATTTTTAATTAATATGTTTTGCCACTGAAAATACTCGAAATCTTAAAGAATAACAATTTTCCAGATAGAATTTTTGTCTTTTAAAGACAATGTATTTTGCATTTCAAATGATTTCTTTTGCCACTATCCTGACCGTCACAGATTAAGTATAAAAATAAACGGTTAATAAGATGATCCGTTTGTTACGACGAAAGATATAGTGATATTATAATGTAGAGCAAATGTATAGTTATAAACATCAAACGAGCCATCAAGGACGTTGATCTAAAACAGCACTCCGGTTGTCATTGCACCGTGTGTTATCTACATACACAACATGCACTATCAATATCGGGTCTAGTTAATTATAACTTTTATAAAGTCTACGGGTGCCCACACTAATGTGTTATTAATAGATCAGGCCAAAGACACGGGAACTCGAATATTTATTTTAAAACAAGCTCACTTTGACTTTTTTTTTACTATTCAGACGGATCACCCTGTGGAACGTTGACAAATGGGTAGAGGCAAAAATCATACGAGTTGCATTGGTCTTATTACTTAAATCACATTTGTGCGATCGCCTATTCGAACAAGTACAAATGTGTTTTCGTCCAAGTCCTTATGGGATTTGTCGTCGCCCCGTCTAGTCTGGCCATGGCAGTTACCGTGGTAACCGAAATTAGGTCCGAGGATCCTTTGTTACTATCCTCTTTGACCCGGCTCGGTTACCGGTTTTTTTTTTTTGTATGTAATTTATGCCGATTGAGTTCGACGTAGACATATTGGGGGGGGGGGGGGCGATAAGAAGGAGTGAGTAGTAGTTCTTTATAGTGTGCCATTTGAGAAAAGATTGAAACGGTTGAAACTTAAGCAGAGGAGACACATTGGTTGAGGCTGTGCTGGTTTTTTTAATTTAACAGTTCCCTCTCCCCTCAAATTCCCAGTGCTAGGCTCTTGCCTAAGACCCGAGGGTTTACTAATGTTGTTGACATTTTTTTTTTTTTTTAACAGGTCGCTGCCAAAACTCAGTACCCAAGACGAAGACGGCTGTGGTCCAGGGGCAAGTGCTGGCACAGGCCTCACACACGGTCACCCTCAACATTGCTCAGGAAGTGCAACATTCGAACCGATACCGCACGACCACGACTTTTGCGAAAGAGTCACAATCAACGTAAGTGTGCATTATCGTCGCCTTTGAGTGCATGGTGCATAATTTTTTGTAAACGGGTTTCGCTTAAGTCGCCATAGCAATGAGTCACGCCGTCAAAACATGTCAGTAATAAATAACGCGCATTCCGGTCAAATCATCAGTACTGACCTGTTTGTAAAACAGTATTATATATATATATATTAATTTAGGGGTGTTATTTGTATAGTATTGCGAATGACGGTCTTGTCCCTGTATGTACATAATTTGTACCCGCTGTGTTATGTCGGATAAGTTTACAAGCGCATAACGGATATTGGAAAAAAAGCTTTGTGAACGCTGATGCTGATTTATATGGATATCGGATGCCGGCGAAGGGTTGATTTAGGGTTGCCCGAGGTGTCGTCTGATGTTGACAACAATGGAAAATTACTACAAGTGCGTTTTACAGCAACTGCTTTGTGCGCGAATCAATTGCCCGTCAACGGAGACACGGTTTACCTAAGACTTGTGTCCGACCAGTTTATAAAACAAGGATTTCTCCATTCTCGATCAGTTTACAGTTATTATTATTCCTGATTCACAAAAAAGTCCATGTGGCACCGTTCTACCCTTCTTTTTTTTTTGTCAGTTAAAGGATTTGTAATAATGTGTTGTACGTAACGTGTGCTGTATCTAAAGAAAACTCCGAACAAACTTTGAATTGAGTCCATAACTCAATCTATAACTTATCTGAAAGTGGCATTAAATTGGAATAGGGCTGACTTTTTTAGGGTGTTTCCGCAATTTCTCACGGAGGAAGTGATATGAACTTTTCAACTTTTGGCCTTATAAAAAGTAACTTTGGCGTAAGATTGGTTATAACAGCAATATGTATGCTGTCTGTTGATATGTATACTGTTTTATGGGGAGCAAAATATAATATGGTCCAAACACCGAATACGTGTGTTGTGTTTACACGGTACGTGCCGGCGTATGCATGTTTCATGAGAGCACTCGACTTTTGCCTTTCACAATACAAGTGAGAGGTGTCTAAAAATTGGCGGTGGTCGATATTTCCTTTTGTCAGCGACAATCGCCGTCCGGCACCTTTGTGCGTGTGAATTCATTAACTTGAAAATGAATGTCTTACGTCAGACAGACCAGCACCCTGTATAATACAAGTAATACCGTGTAAATGTAATTTGTACTTTCCACTGGCAATCGAACAGCCCGCGCACTAGACAATGGCTATCCATCAAAACGATTTTTCAACTAACATCGTTATTAACATGACTCGTTTCGCATTATTCGTTTTTACAATATTATATTGTTTTATTAAATTAGCCTTACGCACGAACACGGTAATATTATAATAATATATAGGGAAATATTATGCATAATATATATATATATAAATAATATATATATATATATATATATATATATATATATATATATACTTGTGCGTTGGTGCGTGCAAAAGATTGAACGTTATTATTCTTTTTAAGTATGTTTTTTTGGCCAATAAACAACTGAAATATATTTCAACCCGAGTAGGTATACACGCATACATTGTATTAAATAACATTAATAATAGTATTAGTACCGTTTTTAATTTGTCGTGTAATTATTCATCGAGTTCATTGTGTTTATATTTATTTTATTTATTTTTATGAGTTTCCAATAGTGCCAAAAGGTAGTGGCGCTGTTGATATATATATATATGTTTTTTAGGCCTATTGTTAATAATTGGTCCTTATCTTCCGGGTATAGGTTTTATGCACACAGATTAGTCTTAGTTGAAAGGGGTTGTGGACAAAATGCATTCTAAAAGGGTTTCCTAGTACCTGCACTTCCATCCAGCGTTTACCACTCTTCCATGTATATACTAGTAGTCAATACTGTTTTTTTCACAAAGGGAAACGATCCAGTACATTATTAAAAATATATACTATACCCTTTTTTTTTTTTTTTTGATATTGCAAGATGAATGAGTATGTTATGTGCGTCACTAGTTTTCTGAATATAGCGTTATTAAATTTCATCGGTAAAAGGTAATACAAGATGTATTGGAGGTTTTTTTTTTATTATATTTTTTAAAAATCTCATTTTTTAGTCTTTTTGTGAAATGCTCTACCAATAAAGTACAAATGATTATTGCGGACGGTTGACTTTGACATTTTATAATGTATATTAATTGTGATCTCCAAATCAAAAAGATATTGCAATAAGAACCAAAACCGAAAATCTAGTTGGGAATTATCTAGATAAATGTATACAGATAAACCTTACTCATCTTTTATCTTACCTAGCAAATGTTACCGGTTAGGTTAAGTCATCTTTATCTGTATCTAGATTCGTTTTTTAGTCATCTGGGCTCAACACTGATTTTATGCAATCTTCACAGCTGTTGATGTGTAATTTTCAAAGTACCTCAGTGCAATCTAATATTGTCACTATATTGACTTTGGCTTCAACATTCACATTTTAACGATTACTTAATACTTCTCTCTTATTATAAAACGACACGTGGGCGTATATTTTTTTTTTCTTTTTAACTCTTTTGATTCGACCTACTGAGAACGAACAAGGTTTGTTTGGTGTGCGGTTGACCTCGACGGGCTGCGTGATAATAACAACCGTGAGACGTCGAGCGTGCCTTGAACAGGACTTGCACACGGGTTACCTACACTAATGGGCCCGATTAATTATTATTTACAACCGAAATAAAAATTTAAAAAAAAAAAAAAACCGTATTAAACTATCATGAAAGTAATTACAACGTGAACCAACTGACTTTCGTTGCGTTTGAGAGTGAAGTAAAAATATTATAAACTTTTTTCAAGAAGATTTGTTTTCCTTTTATTTGACATGATATGAAAAAGTTTTGCGTAACTCTTCGTGCCAGCTTGTAAGTTAATTTTCTTATCTTTTTTCTTGTAATATAGAAAAAATTGCTTTATTATTATAATGTATGACAAAACGGTTATTCTCTAAAATCGTTTCATACTATATAACACTGCAGTATAATGAGCGTGTCAGCGCTGATGGCAGTTTGCTATAGGCTTACTAGTTTTAGGCACGGTATAGTTAATATATATATATATACATATTATATAAAGTATTATATCATTACACTCGTTAGATGTCTGGCCTTAATCTATTAGACGATGTGGTCTTAAACCGGCAATTTGCCTAAGGAATTTTTTGCAAGTCTCCTGGAAAAAAATCCAAAATTTGGCGGTGGAGAGATACGGTCGAGAGACACATGCGTTTGCCTTGCCGTCAAATCTACTCTAAGTGTATTTTATCTTAATCAACGTGTCTCGACTCCAAACCGAGTTTGCCGAACACGTGGAGTCTAAACTTTCTTATAATTAAGTTACTGGTAAATCAGCGAGTGTGCCCGAAAACAGAGACTCGCAGAACACCTGGCAGCGCGCGTTGTGCATTTAACAGCACTAACAAACCGAGTTGTTTGAACAAACGTTAACACAAACTAGTGTAGAAAACTCGATAATTCGATTATTGTGTTATTCTTTCGAACAGTTGGACTGTTCGCAAAGTTATTTCCTTCGGATTGATCTAATTGAAAAATTAATAACAATTAAAATGGTCTAAGTTTGCCGGTGATTTTCATAAGTCCCAATTTTTCAATGGCTGAACAATAAACATTCTAAGTATGATAAAATATTAAGACATACCTTCGCCACAACTGCGATACATACTTTTCAATTTTAGCTTAGTCTGTTCTGGATGCAGTTGAAAAGTGTTTATTTTTTCTGGCGAAAGATGTCTTTCAATCTTGTACTTCTTAACTGTTATCTCCAACTCCATCTCCATCTCTACCTCTTTATCAATCAAAATCCCATCTTTAATAGTAACCAGATTGACTAAGAAAACAATCATTAAATAATTTTTTAGAAAGGTTTTTAATATTCGAGACGATTAAGTCAAGCCATCTTTTTTTATTTTTAATCTGCGCTTCTTTGTATTATCTTGTGCTTATGAGTAGACCATATAGTACAAATCTATAGAGCTGTAATATCATGGCATAATATACTCCTTATCAGCTATAAAAATCAATAGATAAATTTGGCTTTAATACGAGGCGCTCAGATTTTTCAGGACAGGCAGTAAAAGTTATTTGAAACAATGTATGTAAGCGCAATTGCCAGTGTACTTAGCGCACTCTAGCGGTGAAAAATTCAACTATGGAGTTATTTATCTTGACCACTGAAAATCATACACTTTTGTAATCCAACCATGCTCTATTATTCGCAATTTCGTCGTTCTGGTTGACACTGCAGCTCGCCCAATAGCAAACATTTTTGTTAAGATTTCTGAAAAATGTATTAAATATGTTCAATTTTGATTTGTCTTTTTCACAGGTAAGTGGACTGAGGTTCGAAACGCAGCTGCGCACGTTAAACCAGTTCCCGGACACGCTGCTGGGAGACCCGTGCAGGCGGATGCGCTATTTTGACCCTCTGCGAAACGAGTACTTCTTCGACCGGAATCGACCCACGTTCGACGCCATACTGTACTACTACCAGAGCGGCGGCCGGCTAAGGAGGCCGGGCACCGTTCCCCTGGATGTGTTCTCCGAGGAGATCAAGTTCTACGAACTCGGCGAGCTGGCCACCAACAAATTCAGGTGAGTTCCCACTGCATCCGGATACCTACCGTTAAGTATATCACTTCATCTCAAGTCCATCTTCCAAAAACGGAAGTCAGGTGACCCCTCAGTTGACGTTGGCAACAATTTCTTTCCAAAGTCCTCGGTTTTCTGCCGGTCATCAGCAACTCCAGGCTAGATCCATCCCTTCTTATGACGTGACCAAAGAATCTTAGGATCCTCTGTTTACACATGGCCAGAATTGAGAAGTTGTTCCTCCTTTCCATCCAAGAAATTCCGTCCAGCATTCGTATGTAACCCCATGCCTCAAAAGCGTTTATGCGTTTTACATATCCCACTGTATACCACAAATATATATATAAATCTTTCGACTTGACAAAACCCCTGCCCAAGGTGGTGCGAAAATTTGAAATATATTCCTCGTGTTAAAATTGAATTTTGTGAAGGGAAATTTAATATATTCCTTCACACTTCAAGGAGTCAACGACATATGAAACATATGAATTTGTCTCAATACCAGAAACTAAAGCCCCATATAGAAAATATTTTAATCTTTCCATAGAAAATCAAACTGTCACTTTGAAAAAAAAACTTGTCAAAAACGTAGTTATAATATTTTCGGTCTGCTTGTCGTTTACAATGACTAAGTAAATATAATATTTTTAATAGAAAATAAATCATATACAAACGTTTATTGACATCCATACGAATCACAATAATGTCAATTGCTAACCTAATGGATATTCGAATGATTAAAAACTAACAGCTGTACAATTTTTTAAAATTATTTTGCACTATACTTATTTCAATTAATTAACACCGATTTTTCAATTTAATTTAAGTCTAGTTGAATGTTTTTTACCCTTTTACTTAATCCCTTTCACGAATAAAATTAATAAATCATAAACGGGATCGTGTGCAATACAGTAGTAGCAATAATACTTTTCATAAACAAACTAATAACGCTCCACTCCATCCATTCACCATGGGGTTGAACAAATAATTAACAATTATATTTCTCAACGCCTGTCTTTCCCCCCCCCCACCCCTATTGGTGTAATTTAAGCTGGACACATTCAAAACGCTAAGATTTGAAGCAAGAGCTGCCCAAAAAGCTTAGAATACATTTGTCGGGTGGGAACTTTATGAATTATGACCAATTCGATATGACTAACTCAAACTTGCTTTGTTTTTGAGTATAACTAACCCCCTTCCCTCGCTATAAAATTGTGCTAATAATCTCCCCTCCGTTTTCACGGGTAACAAATAATTAGTGTCTTACTTTAAACTGATTAGTGAAAAAAGATTACAAATAAAAATTCATAAGATGGATATTAGATAATATATAGTTTAGAGAGAACTCAACGATTATTTTATGATGTACCATTTAAGTGTGAAAGTGTAACATGTTAATACTCTTTTAATAAGTTACACACTGTTACTAGTCTAGAAACTAAAAAATTAAAAACAAACGTCTTGGCTATTGATTTTCAGGCCTTTCGCAATCGATTCACTTTTATTCGAATTTTATTTTTTTAGCTTTTCTCGCTCGCTGTGCTTTGTCTAAACGTGCAACAATTAAAAAAAAAAAACTTACAATGCATAAAAAACAAATTACTTTTAGTGCCTTTATTATAACACACTTCCCTTTATATTCTATTCTAAATTTATCAATAGATTACAAACTTGGGATAGTTGTAAGCAAACGGGGTAAATGTAAATGCATTTTTTTTTTTTGGGAAGAACCAACAATTTTGGTGTTTTATTTAATAATTTGAACATCTTATTATTAAAAGTATTGAGTTAAAATTGAAAATAGCCATTATTACGTTATTTAAATAATATGATTTACATTAGCCTCATTCGCTTACATTTACTCCACTAAACCCAAATAACTTAAATGTGTGTTTAGAGACTTTGAAAATTTCTGGTTTTTTCATTTCTACATTTTGTAGCTTGATCAAAAGTAAATTTTAATAAAACCTTCTCGAGTCGACATAGGCTCGCCTATTTCAATAATTGAACGGATAAATAATTATGAGCAAGCAAATAACGACTGCGCCGAATAATACAACGACTGTACTGGCGATTTGGTTAGCTGTTCACAAATTATTCAACAATTCGAGAACAAGAATTATTCATTATTCATCCGACCGAATCAACGAATTATTCATGAACATTGGAATTATTCGAAAAATAAATTATTCAATTGGTTTTCCGAATTCGCACACTTTTTTTTTATATTAGATTCATCGTTATTTGCACACTCTTAGAATTTACATAATAATTATTATTTGCCAAAGCAACAGCATAGATGAGCTGATCGAACCAGACGGCAAAATGTTCCTAAACTTAGTGCGTGGCCACCACTAGGAGGGTGGTCGTTATTTATAAAATTCCAATGGGCTACAAACCCGTTTTTGTTTTTCTTGCCTGGTGGAAAATAAATCACCGTTGGCGTTGCGCTTCCGCACTCGGACGGAACAGCTTCCGGCGCCACGGCTTATCCCCTGTATACCGCGCGGTGGCAATCGATAAAAAAGGACATAGTAATTTTGTATTCTTTCTTTTTGTCCGCCGCGCACAAAGGGTGTTTTGCACTACGGTGCTCGATTTGCATAAACCGCGGGCAGCACCGCCGCTAGACCCTAGAGAGCTGGCTGGCTAGCAAGCTAGCTAATAATATTATTACTATTAACACAACCGGGGCGATGGGGATATGCCGGCCGCTCCTTTGGCCGGACCGTGAGTAAAACGGCAACAATGTAAATGGCTTACGTGGGTGCAAGCAGCAAAGGATGAGCCTATATTATCTAGTGGCAGCGGTTGGTGGACAACACCACCACGGTGGTGTGTGCGATCAATACGAAATTCCGTTCCCTCCTCTAAAAATATACACCTCAAACATTAATGTGTGTGTGTGTGTGCGTTATCTGTGAGTTGTTTTATTATTAATGTTATTCGCCGGAGCACACGACAATCCGTCGTTATTGCCAGCCGAGAAAAACAACAAATAAAACGACACCGCGGATTTAGACAGACCCAATCCATAATATAAGACTGAAAAAAAAAAAGAAACGCTGTGTGTGTTTTGACCACTAGACCGGTGTCCCGGGGTTACTACACCGGGGTCGCACCGGGGCTTTGGCGTTGTATTAATATTATGTATGTATACACATTACACACACACACGCAATATAAGAAGGACGAAAAATATATATATATATATACCGACGATAAATCCATCAAACGCCGACGCCGACGTCGAACAAATAATAATAACACTGTCCTTTTGTGTAGACTAAGCCGGCGCGATGAACAGGCAAAATAGCTACACCCGTGTGTTTGTGTCAGACTCTTGTCCGGTTGTCTAGCGCAGGGCGTTAAAATGATGTATATTTTTTAACTTCCCAAAAAAAATGTGTTGTTGAATAGAAACCTGAACCTGGGCTCTCCTCTGTTCCCCTTAAATTTTTTTTTTTGTTGTAAAAATAGTTCCAAATTTGTCTGGTATAAAAAGTACCGTTAAAAACAGACTGCCGGCAATCCTCTAAGACATATAGTTTAATTATGTTAATTCAACGCGACATGGCATTATTATTCCTTTGACGTGGACACATTCTGGGCACTAAGAGCCATTACAGTAGCTGTGTACGGTGATCTCTTCTAGAGGTAATTGAATTTTTGCAGTGGCAAACTCGTGTGGAGTGGCACTTGTGACGTGGTACCTACCGACGTGATATATTCTCATTAATTCATCATTTTACTACAATGAAATTATCGAATTTCACTTTATAATATAATATAATATGCATTTATAATTATTTTATATACTTCAAAGAAACAACTTCAGAAAACCCCACGACTAGCACATTTTTCTGAGAATATTATTAAAAATGATTACTTACAAACCGTTTGACTTTGATTTTTTTCACTAAGTGTACTGGAACGATAATCGTTGATTTCATCCGAAATATTACTTTTATGTAAGTATGGTAACTTAAATGAAAAAAAAATTAATGTGGATAACTTCATAAAGATGTAGTGGATAGGAAAAAAAATAACAAAATACTACTCACTAATAGTTAGGAAAATTGGCATTAATTGTCTTAGCTTCAATATAAGATATGATACAGATAGATCAGATCTCATACCTACGGTTTTAATTTGTAAAAAGTTTTTGGTACATCTATAAACACATAGTTTCTCAATTTTTTCTTAAACTATACGAGACAGAGAGTATATAAATAATTCTGTCGAAGTTTCTCCACTGAGAAACCTTTTCACTCTGTCAATCTGTGCTTTGTAAATACTTCATATTCTACATTTTAACAGATTGCATAAATCAAAACTAATAATAATAGTTTGTTCTTAAAATATACTTATTTTTGTGTTTATCATCTCATTTTCTTTCTTAACGTCACAAATAAAATTCCGAAAGAAGTTACACATCCCACGCAGATCTCTGAAACGAATTAATGGTTTTTGTCATTTAGTGTCTTGTTCGCATGATATTTGCACGTAAAAGTTTAGTGAAGAGTTTCAGAACTTTATTTATACAGTTCATTGACTACAGTTTTTTAAAGTTGTATAATATCATAAAAAACACATTTTTCTCCCTAAACATTCATACTAACTCGAAGGCACGTCCACATGCCGACCCCGACTTGGCAAGCGTGTTTTATTTAAGTGTGTTATTGATTTCGAGCGAGTTCAGTTTGACCCTAAATTTAAATAATATTTATGTGTTCGTTTTAAGTAGGTCAGTAAACGCATACATAATTTTTTTTTTCCACGAACCATGTTACACTGCTGTTGTTAAACTTCATCAACATGTTTCATATTTGAATGTACAATATTATGCTATGCACTTGATTAATAAACGTCTGTTTGCAGGGAAGAAGAGGGTTTTATCAAAGAAGAAGAGAAACCACTGCCAAAGCCGGAGTTCCAGCGAAAAGTGTGGCTGCTGTTCGAGTACCCGGAGAGCTCGCAAGCGGCCAGGGTGGTGGCCATCATATCGGTGTTCGTCATACTGCTGTCGATTGTGATATTCTGCTTGGAGACGTTGCCCGAGTTCAAGCACTACAAGGTGTTCAACACGACCACCAACCGGACCAAGATCGAGGAGGACGAGGTGCCGGACATCACGGACCCGTTCTTCCTGATCGAGACCATATGCATCGTGTGGTTCACGTTCGAGCTGTCCGTGCGGTTCCTGGCGTGCCCCAACAAGCTGCACTTCTTCAAGGACGTGATGAACACGATCGACATAATTGCCATCATACCGTACTTCATCACGCTGGCCACGGTGATCGCCGAGGAGGAGGACCCGCTGATGAACGTGCCCAAGGCGCCGCAGAACCCGCAGGACAAGAGCACCAACCAGGCCATGTCGCTGGCCATACTCCGGGTCATCCGGCTCGTCAGGGTTTTCAGGATATTCAAACTGTCCCGACATTCCAAGGGGTTGCAGATCCTCGGACGCACCCTGAAAGCCTCCATGAGGGAACTGGGATTGCTCATTTTTTTCTTATTTATCGGTAAGCATCTGGCGCTCTGGCGTTTCACGACGACAACATCGTCGCGTCGTCCTCCTCGTGTATTACCCGTCACGGATTACAAGTGTTTGTAAATATAATAAAAATATATAATAGAACCACCCCCCCCCCCACCGGCTTGTTGTTTGCCCGGGGCCAACAAACCCGATCCTAACAGCCTCCGTAATCAATACACACTACCGTTTGGGGGGGAGAGTGTGTGTGTATTTTTTCTTTTTTTTTTTTATCCATCCACGCAGCTAACAAATTTGTCCAACCCACACGCGAGTCTGCAAACATTGTCGCCAGAGTATGTTTCGCTCCCGAACAAACTACCTTTTACACCGCGTTTAGGTCCGCCGTGCCTGGAAACGTTTTTGTAATTTTGTTTTCACAAGACAAACGTTCCAACGGTTTCCTGTAAATTCGATTTATCTCTTTTTTTTTTGTCGGAGGGTTTCTGTGCAACGTGTTCCAATTAATATTGTTTGTTACTTTTATAAAAGAAAAAAAACTACCGTTCTAATGTCTCTCCCCGAAAATACCCTGTTTTTTTATTCGAAACGTATTACGGGTATCTGATTTGGCAAACGTATTCGAGCAGTTTTTCTTATAGATTAACGACAGCCGTATATACACTTGCTGTAAATCGAGTTTGCGTTACTCAATTAAAAGTTCTCTCCGTTTGTCCTTAAACCGGCCGAGCGTTTAGCTCGAACAACGTTTGACTTTTTCAAATTTTCCAATTGACGGAGGCTTTTGTTGAATAAAACCCATCTAATTAACCGTGGCGAGTACGATTTCTGGTAGCGCGGGCGATATCGACTTAGTGGCACTGGTCGTTTACACAAGAAGTAGTTACCCACGTGGCGCGTGTCCATCCAATCTATTATGATTTCAAAATAAATCCCAGCTCAGAACCGTCGTCGTTCGAAGGATTCACAATATATTATGGATTGCACGACACCAGACAACGACGGTTTCGCGTGATTGATTGGTGATTGGTTTCACAAACCGGGACGACACCAGAATGGAATTTATTATTGTCAATCAGACCGACCGAAAACAACGGGGCTCGCTGGTGCTTGGTGTGATTTTGAGGGAAACAACAATGACGATTGTGGCCACGGTCGGCGGCGCGCAAAGGCAAATCAATTTGCCAGCACCGTGAACACACGGTGACGTCACTCGGCAGGGCCGTTTACGCACCTGTACAATACGCGTTTATACGCCACAACGTTATTATATTACAATATATACACCGAGAGAGTTGTACGGACGGAATTATAATATAATATAATACAAATAATATAATACACACTCGATCGGGTTCCGACCCCCGGCGGCTACACGAGGAGGCGGGCGCGCGCGCGCACCACCCTGTATACCCATCGCGCTCTTTGGTCGAACACCCCCCCGCCGGCGCTGTTGCCGCCGCGGCCGCTGTGCAAGGACCCCGTCGTCGTCATGGATACACTAGCGATCGGATGACGTCATCCGTCCCGGGGTTTTGTGAATAACGTCATTGAGGAAAAACGGTACACTTTCCACACACACACACAGCGATCCGGCGGCCGACGCCGCCGCCCCTTTCCCTCCCTTACGCCCGGGGGATGGGGGGAGAGGTGTGGAAAAACCCACCGCCGAAAACGTGTCATGTGAACATGTGTTTTCGATTACCCCCCCCCCCCCCCCCAGAAAAACGTATGTCGTGGTCACCAAAAGCATTGGCTTTTGCAACACGGCCGTTATGGGTTTTTTTCGCCCTACCGACCGACGATTTACAACGATAATAAATTCGAAAACTGGGTCACGGCGACAATAACAATAACAATCCGATTTCGGCCATCGTCGTCGTTTAGCGTGGTAGCCGTTTTTGGCCGCCATTTAAAGCCCGCACTACTCGAGAGTTCATTTACATAACTGCGTTGCTAAAAAAAACCTGCCGACCGAATCATCGATTGACGACCGCCCTCGTTTAAGGAGACAGAGACGATTCAAAGACATCGGATGGTCCCCAATTGAGTGCTTTTAGATTATGAATTACACGGTGGTTGGCATGTCCGTTGGAGACGCGAACATAACTGGGGTAATTCTGGAGCAAAAGATCGAGCTGGTTATGATTGGAAAGCACGAGGGAAGAGATCCTTAGTTAGTAGACCTAACAATATTAGTAGTGGAATGAGTACAATGAGGCGGAAGGAAGTGGTTGGTGCAGCGAGACACGACTAGACAGGCCTTTGAAGCTGAAGAAAAAACAAGATTGGCTCGACGGTATACAGTGGCTTATATACAGTGACAATTCGAAGGGCAATGTAACTGAGCGCTATTGTCCATACTTTATTGGCATATGACCGATTTGGTACTTGAAAGTAGTAAAAAAAATGGGGAGGGGGTCAAATGTTGCGACAGTCTAGTTGTCAATGAAAGATGAACAGAGCGGCACTCTGTCCGGCGAGAGAACGCTACTTGCGCAGAAACCAAAACGCGTTCCGCCGGTATGCGCCTGCGCAGACTAGAGTGGTGCGTTTCTGCGCACAGTGCCGTTCTCTCGCTGGACGGAGTAAACATTTTTACCACCGGATAGGATAGCCGCGCGGTGGTCGAAGCGCGAGCATTTTTTTTTTTTTTGTTGTCTGAAACAAATTTTTGCTGGTTTTTTGTATTTATGTGTGCGGGGTTCTTTTTTTCGGGGTCGGATAACTACTCTCTACTCTACTCTATACACTGCACATTACCGGACACGGTTGCCTGAGCGTATTGTTTTCCAGGAGTGGTGCTGTTCTCGAGCACTGTGTACTTCGCCGAGGCGGGTTCCGATCAGTCGTTTTTCAAGTCCATCCCGGACGCGTTCTGGTGGGCTGTGGTCACCATGACGACAGTCGGATACGGTGACATGAGGTAACTAATTGCGACCGGCCAGCATCGCACGTACATTAATTTACACAGACTTACAAGTAGACTTACATACTTTTAAGCCAGACAGACAGACAGACAAGGTCTATACAGACAAGACAAGCTAACTTACACTGACTTAGACAGACAGACCGACCGACACACACACACAGAGATGATGAAACATGTTGTCAGAACTAGACGGGGAAAAATTACACAAGAGACGTACGTTTGTGAGAGATGGTTGATTTTTTTTATATATATATATATTTTTTTTTGGTGCTCGAGATGGCCGTTTCTGAAGCGCACAAGACCTAATGAAAATCCCTCGGCCATAAATATCCCAAACGAACAGTGTTGTCACGCAGTTTATCCAGTCGCTAATAATCAATACATCAGTATATAATTTTATTATAAATTTTTATTATTATTTGGGTTTTTTTTTTTTTTGGTTATTATTTTTTTTTTAAGTTTGTTTGTTAATTGGTTTATTTACATGAGTCAACGTCCAAATGAATTTCAGGTGTGGTGCTATTCTCGAGCGCGGTGTACTTCGCCGAAGCCGGCTCGGAGAGTTCCTTCTTCAAGTCCATCCCGGACGCATTCTGGTGGGCTGTTGTTACCATGACGACTGTGGGCTATGGTGACATGACGTATGATGTACTCAATTTCATTAAGACAAAATTAGACAGTTATTAAAATTTATTTTTTTTTCCATCTAGATAATATATTTTATTTGGTTTTTTTTTTTTTTTTATTACTCACCGTACTAATATTCCTTAAATATATATTAATACTATTATATACACTGTGTCTGTTGGCAATATGATCGGATACGGTAAATATACTTTGTATGATCGCATCTAATCGAAAACAATAATTATTACACTTATTATAAATATTACAAAGAAAATCTCACTTATTTATAACATAAAGACATTTTTTTTTTGGGGGGGTAGTGGGAGGGGGACTATTACTTAATTTATAATTTAGAAGGGCAAATGGGAATAATCATTTGAAAATTCCATTTTTCCTTTCTCAAATTGATATGACGCTGTTCTTCTTCTTGGTAACATAACTTTGATTCTTCCAAATTAAACGTAGTCCATTACCAAAGCGTTTGTTACGATTAATGGAAAACATAGAAGTAAAATAATAATAATTTATCTATTGGAGAAAAAAATTATTCTGGACCCGGGCGAACCTTTCAAAATTGTAATAAAAAAAAAAGGTATTTTTTTGTCATTTCCAAAATACTTGTTTTCAATTAAGTGTGCTTGTACAAGAATATTTGCTGTTTTTTTAATAATCGACTCGAACACACACTGTGTATATGTAACTAGTTATTTGCATATAATATTATTTAGCGCAGTCTACATGAAAGTATCGAAAAAATAATTAATATCGCATTAGATTACTAATCGTTGTACTTGGTATATTATATATATATATATATATTTTTCATTTCGTACTTATATATTACTATCAGTCTAACGTTATTATTTTGATATTTATTTTTTAATTTTAACATAGTACACATAATATATTATGTAGCTTGCCATTAACAACAGTTATTTTATTATTATTATATTTTATAAGCTACTAATATTATCACTAATAATTTCTAACCGCAGTAGATTATTACAAAATATTATAATATTTAGTTAACTACTTACAATATTATTATTATTATCTTTACAAGCAATTTTTTAAACATTTTTTTACACTCGTATTAAACTTTTACTCTCTCTTTTTTTTTATTATTATACTTGGTACATCGATCACGTTTGGGTTGATACATAATATTATCTAAAATAGTACTATTATATTATACTATATTTAAATAGATTGTTATAGGTATGCGTTTAGAGGTATTTGAAGTATTTCAAATGATAATATATCAGTATCTTATTTCGAGCAATACCTATATTACTATAGTTTATTTTTTTTAATTTTTATTAGGATTTTTTTTCTGGTCAACATACAAACCAGTTAACGTGTAGCTCATAATGAACGTTACTATTATAGTCGTCTTGTCACTGTACGCTCCAGTAGAATTAGCTATTTAAGGTGCAGAATAGGCCACCGTTAGCGGTTCTCCGATTTGTGATCATTAGAAACAAACTATTAAGAGTGGATTTTCCTAATATTCCCATTAACAGATACCTACAAACACCCAGAGTTGTGCAAATACCCATATTGTTCTAACATAAATTAATAGAAAAAATATATATACAAGGTGATTGACTTGAGCTTTTATTATTTTACAACATTAGACAGTATTAAACAAATTTGTTTTTTTTTTCAGAGCGCTATTAACATTTAAAACTGAAATGGTGAAAATGCTAAAGCTCTTTCTCTTTGTATTAGAAATATTTGATATTTCTTTTTTTTCAGATTTTTAAGTACTTATTTTTCACATTGTTTTCGCCACTCGCAGCTGGTGCACTTATTCGCTGTCCTACTTAATAATATATATTTAAAAACAATAAAATTGTAGAACTGTAACGAATAGCGTTTCAACGAATCGATATTGGTTTATTTGCCAAATAATGCCGAAAAAAAAATTAATTTCAAAGAACTTTATTGTTGACATTTTTTTAAATTATAACTCAAGTCTTATTGTAAATACTATAATATTTTTATTAGACTTCATAAATAAACGATATTTTAAAGGCTTTAGAGCGTTGACTTGTCCCTTTTGTTGTACAAACTATAACCTAAATAGTAATTTTTTAGTGAAACTTGTGACTTTGTCCCTTTTTACGAACAAGCGATTCGTTTACCAACCTCAATTAATTTTCATTTGAACAAATGTGACGATTATTGCACAATTCTGAGTACACCTAATATTATTCTAGTATTTAGCCGTCGATCGAAGGACCTACACCCGGTTAGAGATCCCACAATTAGTGCAATACTGTATCGTCATGTTGTCCATATCGACCTTGTCTCACAATAACATAATATAGTACTTAGGTACAATATCATGTAAACCTATCGTCCGGAGGAAGTTTAGAGTACTTATACTATACATGTGTGTGTGGTTTTCAACATGTTTTGCCTAGACAGACGTTATAGATGTAACAATTTTACTAACACATAGTCACCATACACATATAGCATTAACAACAATAACTATTTATTATATTTAATATATATATGTGTTTTGTTGTTAGCCGTGTTGGTTTCGTTTGGTAGATTTTAGTCGTTGAGTAGTTTTAAACTGCATGTTGTGTTGTCAAAGATGAACGTTTTAATATTATCTACTTTAGAAATGTTACAAAGAAATAGCGATTAATGTTTTTTTTTTAGTAATTTTTCTACGCCTAAACTGCACGTTTTTAACGACAAAGAAATAACAATAATATTTTTTTTTCCAATGCTTGGCCGAGTTTATGTGTGTATTTTTTTTTCCAAAATAATTTTGGTTTGTTTGTTAAAATAAAAAATGTATTATATATTTTACAACAACCGTGTTTGTGCTTCTGAATTAAAATCAATAATCGAGTTTTGTAAAGTAAAAAAAAATATATACATTTCCCGTTGAGTTTGTGTGTGTTTAAAAAGACAAAAAAAAACAATTTACGATAAAAAAAAAAAAAAAACAAACTAATCATTTATATTCACAGCATGTGTAAATCTAGATCGGTTTTATCTTTAACCAAACGTGGATAGCGTTACTATTGTAGAGTTGCGTTTTCGCTTTTTGTTTTTTATCAAAAAAGTTGTCGCTTACCACTACTACAGCAAAAACAAAAAACAGAAATTGGAAAAAACCTGACATATTATTTATATTCAAATGTGTGTTTCAGACCGGTGGGAGTGTGGGGAAAAATTGTCGGTTCGCTTTGTGCGATTGCCGGTGTGCTCACAATCGCACTGCCCGTGCCCGTCATCGTGTCCAACTTCAACTATTTCTATCACAGAGAGACTGACCAAGAAGACATGCAATCGCAAAATTTCAATCATGTCACCAGCTGCCCTTATCTTCCCGGTACTTTAGGTAAGTCCGGGCGATCGTTCCAAAGTCTAATAACAAAAAAAACCCCAATTGTTATCTAGCATGAGTTCATAGTAAATATATTTATATAGATAATATAAATTGTATGTTATAATTGTATATTGTATATTATATAATTGTATATTATATAATATTGTATATTATATATTGTATATTGTATAATTGTTATATTGTATGTTATAAATGTATGTTATAATTTGGTTTTATCTTTTGACATAATTTTTTGAGCCAAAAAAAAATATATAATCCTGATTCTAAATATTAATGGTCCAAAATCGTAATTAATTATTAAGTTAAAAAGAAAAGTTGTATTTTAAAAGGATAGTATTAAGGGGTGAATTTTAATTTAATTGTTGAACTAAATATTTGATTTAAATAAAGGCTAGAAAAAAAAGTATTAGATTTGCCTATGAAAAGCAAAGCGTTAACATACAAAATGTAAACACTGGTCGATAACCTGGTTTTCGATAAATAATACTTTTTTAGTTATAAGCATTTTAAGGTGTAGACTGGATTGAGGTATATTATTTATACCCGTACTCTATTTCTCGCCTAAACTTTAAAGACTAATAACTTAAAAAGCAATATTATTAAAAAACCAGTTATCGACCGGTAATTATTTTTCATTATAGTATCGTTCTACTTTTAACGGGTAATTCAGATGTGTACATATTACTGATTGACATTTAACAATATTGCCCTTAAATCTACCTTTTTAATCATACATTTTTTATCTTTAAATATGATAAGAATTTTTTCAGAGACTTTTTCAGCTTACATAATTATTCTTTCATTTAAAAAAAATCACTGTGACAAGACATCTTAATGACTCTGCATATATATTATAAATATATGAATTTGTTTTGTACAGTGTAGCTAATGTGTATTCGAAACAATTTCTCTGGGTTATTACAAAATTGTAATTATTTTTCTTTGTCATTTGAACCAGATTTATATAATTTTCAGCTGTATTCTAAAGCAATATAGCCTATTCAAACTATATTATTAACTAAGACTAGAAGTTGACCGTTTAAATACATTTCACAGCCGTTTTAGTCATAATATAGTCTTAGTCTAGTACAAAACATTTTGAAATGTTTATCAAATAATAATAAGTTTCTGTTTTCCCAGAATTAAGGAGGGCGACTTTTGAAACTTGAATGCTAAAGTATGTTGTAAACTAACTTTTTAAATTAAAAATAATTTAACGGCAATTTTGATTGGTCAATAACTAGTTTTAAGCCATCAATTTTAGAGTTTTTTTAAGTTTAAACTTTATGAGTGTATCATTATTTTTATCTGCGCGCATTACTAAACCGCACCTCCTGCCATAAATATTTTAAACTCTAATAACTTTAAAAATAATAACTCAAAACCAGTCAATTTATTTATAGTTTAAAAAACTAATTTAATGCATTCGTTACCATTTAAATTTCAATCCTTACCCAACCCAATTCTGGCTTCTGATTGTTCTGAAAAAAAAAACCAAAAATTGGTTACTATGTTTGATATATGAGGCGCTCAGATGCCAAACCGATAAAATGAAATATTCCAGGACAGGCAGTTACAGTTATTTGAAACAATGTATGTAAGCACAATTGCCAACTTTCTTAGCGCACTCTAGCGGTGAAAAAAACAACTATGGAGTTATTTATCTTGGCCACTGAAAATTATACACTTTTTTAATCCAACCATGCTATTATTCGCCATTTGAAAAAAACAGTGGAGTTAATCAGTTTGGTAAAAATATCGTAGGTTTAACATATGGGATTTTGATAGTCCTGTATGAATTTCCTGGAAATCAACATTTGTTTGAAATAATATATTTGAAAGACGTTCGGCTGTTGTCTAGACGATTATTTATGGATAGGATAGTGCACAACTCTGACTGGCAGTGACATAATTGATATTTTAACCATGTTCAGGTCAACACATGATCAAATATCCTCGGGGCGACTCGACGTCGGACCTAATGGACTTAGAGTCGGCCGACAATTGTTTGCTGGACGCAGAAATGGACGAACAACCTCCGCCTTCGTTGCCGCCGCCGCAGCAGCCTAAGAGGTTCAACAGCTGCGCCACTGTGGTTAGGCTCAACAGCAACAGCGTCAAAAGGTTCAGTGTCGAAACCGATGTCTGACCAACAGGTAAGATAACAGTGTAATTAAAACAATAATAATACTTACCCCCGGCGAAAACAAGTTTATCGTAGAATCACTTACTTGCACTTAAAATCGTTACAGGCAGCGCTGAGCCTAGAAAAAATAACCGGTTAGGTTAATTCTACCAAAACGTATCTAGATAAACTAAAACATGAGCATTGGCAGATATCAGAGGGGCGGGGCTTGGGATTCTAACATCCTTAAACCTAAAAACTTAATGCTACATTAATAAATTTTATTTCAACAAATCTCTCGCTATAAAAATCATAAATGTAGGTATTTTGAAAAGCACTAAGGTTTTCAGTATCCCAAGCCCTCTTTCCTGATCTCCACCAACAGATAGGAGTAAGTTTTATCTAGATAGCTTATATCTGTAAACATTTATCTTAATAATTCCCAACATTGTTTACAAGGCAAACAATTTAAAGTGACACAGTGATATATTTATGTATATGTTTTTGAATTTATTATAAAAGCATGTTGACCTAACCTATACCTTCTCAGCTACCTACCGTATCGAAACTAAAATATATTCCAAAAGAAATGCTAAAAAATTGTAATTATTTTCCGAGAAAACGATTGTCTTACGTTGAACCGATAACTCTATGTACTCTTTAAAGATATTGAGATTATTTTTGTAAATGAAAAAAATTCTCAATTTCAACTAATCAAGTGTACATTAACTACAAAATAGACATTTATCTAAATATAGCTATATAACGAAATGTTTGCAATATTCCACCAGAAAATGATAAATAAATGATTAATTATTCAACTGTGCGGTTGTATTTTTTTTTGTTTAGTATTCCAATTGCAATCCGGCGGCCGTCCAGGTCTCCAAACGCCTATAAGGTGCTGTGCTGTGATAGCTAAGATGTTTCCTTCGTTATGTTACCTCCGACACGTTTTAATTGTAATATTTTTTTAAGCGAATAATCATCCGAACCCCTTTTTTTTAAGGGAACGTTTTTCTATATACACCGACATAACGATGGATCATGCCCGGCGAACCATATACGTCTCAATTTGTTTTGTTCCAAATTGTTTCCGTTTTATATAAGCCCTATGGACTGTATTTGATGAAAAAAAAAACCATTTAAATTAATTTACTCTTATTAAATTATAATATATTCTTATTTGTTAATTTGTTATTATTACTATAATTTTTTTGTTTTACCTATTAAGAGATCAATTATTGCGTTGGAGATAAATAAAAAATGAAAAAAAACTATAATTTTAAACGTGTATCAAATCTGTACCTAAATTAATAATTAAATCAATAAGCGTCTTGATATTTCTGATCGCCTGTAGTGTCTTATATTAGTCGCAAGTCTTCCACGTTTTTAATATTATATTATTAATTTGGTCATTTATTTTTTTCAAAAATATTTTTCATTTTGCTGTCGTGTATAGATATATATATAAAAAAAACCAATTTGAAATGTTTTTAATTAACGTTTCACGTTGTTTCTTGTCCTTGATTTTTATTCACCCTAGTTGTCCGCTTATAACGCAAAAATACACCATTGTATTACGATAATAATAATCGATCGAATTAGAATTTGAAAAAAAATAATTTACATAATAATATAGTAGTGTTACAATATTATACAATACTGCTCTGCTAAAATAAACATTACTAGGGACCAAAATAATAGGGCGCTTTTACGGTCAGATTTGTAATACCTAACGTTGATTTTAAAATATACAAATAAGCGGGGTTAGGTTACACGAGAAGTTAACTTCATCACGGTTTATGAAGAGGCCAGAAAAGGGTACCTCTCTGTGTTGACTGTGGGAATTCCTCTCATAGAACCGCCTATCTGTATAAGTTAAAATCAACGGCCATATAGCAATATAATATTATATTTTGCTAAATCTACGAACTCGGCATAAAAAAAATTATTGTTAAAATGTGTTTTTTTATAATATTTTGTTGGACAGTTGTAATATTATAGTTTGTAGCTGTTGTTTGTCCTGGTCTGTTTCAGGCGTATTATACCCTCCATGACGTCAACAAATCGAAATAATAATAATATTAATTATAATATATACATGTACTTATAGAGTCCTAGACCGTCGGCCATCTTCTGTGCCACACGTTTTAATAACTTTTTATTTCTAATAAAAAAAAAAACATGTGTATACCTATGCGTGTAAAGTAAACAGAAGAATTCACCAAAGTAAAAATGGATTAAACAGGGTAATATTGAAAAGCAGTCGACTAAGTCACTATAGAAATTTACAATATTAATAATACAATAATTGAACACCGTTGATTTTGAAATATACACCTGCTTATGTGCATATTTTTTAATATTAACGTTAACATTTATAAGAAATTATGTTGTTGAAAAAAAAAATAACGCTAGTTAATAACTAATAATTAAAATCTATTGTTTTGTCCATTAACCGGTTAATTCATGTACAACACCGACCATCAAGACGGTCTAAAGCAATGTTTATAATATTGTGGGTTTTTTTTGTTATCAGGTTTAAATATGTTAAAATTAAAAAAAAAAATTATACAATCCATGTAAAAACAGGCTGATCGGCTTTGTCTCATTCTTTGTTTATTCGATTTCCATATCCCTTTTAAACGACTCCACCGTACGGTCCAACCTCCTGTTGCACATAAAAAGAAGGGGTAAAGTGTCTGAAGTTTTAGTATAAGAAAATAAAAAAGATAATACAACGTTACTCGCTCTCTAATGTAATGTTTAAGTGTTCAAAAAAAAATTGAAACGCAAAAAGAATTATTAAAACGTTTTTTGAACGATCCTCAAACATTGTTATAATTAAATAATAAGTAGGTATTATGAAAATTTGTTACAAAAAATATTATAACTAATAATTAAAATTAATAAAAAGCTTGTAATTGGTAATTTTTATATTATGATTTAGGCAAATTTTTAAATTATAATGTTACTGAATACGTGTTATTATACTTTTTACTATACAATCAGCCAGAATTAAAAAATTGTTTAATATAAATAAATGTCAATTGCAAATGGCTTGGAATAAAGGCTGCACAATAGGAACTAGGAAATTTCGTTGATTTTTGTTTGTTTTTTAACGTATTATGTTGTTATTATTATTATTATTATTCTTGATTTGACACAAATCGTGACAGATCAATTTAATAATAAAACATTTTTTAAAAAAACGTGTCGCGGGTCAAAAAAAGAATTTCGAGTAAAAAATGTTTTTTTTTTTTACTTTCTTTTATACCGCACTTTTTATTGTTATCGTTTTGAAATATTGTTATTATATTATTATTATTATATTATGTAAATGAAAACATTAACGGTTATACGGAATTATTCGATAAAATCATCGGTTTAAGTAATATTTTTTTTTAATTTTTAATTAAAATTCATTATCGACAATCTAATAATAAATTTATGATGCTTAAAAAAAAATAATAACGCGATTATTCGTTGCAAAATCAAATATTATGATTTTTTTTTTATTTGTTATAAAAACAGCCATCGCTTTGTACGTTTTTTTTTTTTAGTTTTTGCAAATAAAACAAAAGCGATACCATTATTTTTTTTATACTTTTGAAGTGCTTTTATTTGTTTTTTTTTTTTTAGATTTTACCCAAATTTGTGTTCTTAACTGTACAATTTTGTAAGTCTTTTGGTACTACTGATGAATAAACGACTCAATTATGGCATCTAATGATAAAAAAAAAACAATTAACCTCGAGACTAAAATAATTAAACCATGCACTCAATACACTAAATCACAAATTTTTTTTAAAAAAAAATTTGTTTAATCGCTTCGGTAAACCTTCATTCGATTTTTTTGTGCGGAAAATGTTCGTTTTCAAGCTTTTGTTCTCTCTCTCTCTCTCTTTGCGTTCTTCCTATGATATTAAATGTTATTTTCTCCTTTTATTATTATTACAATAATTATCACTATACGTCCATAATACACTTTGTTCTTAAGCTATTATAAAGCCTGGTAATGTCGATACTTGAGAAACATAAAAAATAAAACAGTTTAAGACGACAAACAATTATTACGCCTGTATATTTTATTCAATGGATGAAAAAATAAACAATGATAAGTTATAGTAAATAATATTATTATTAAGTTATTGTTCTGATACATACATTCCTAGTATATTGTTCTGTAAATAAATAATTAAATTGTTTATATATATATATGTTTGTTTTTGTTTCGAATTTTTTTTTTTATTATTATTATTACTGTAATCGTGGTCGTATTAAATTATTATTATCATCATTATTATGTATAGTAGATACCTGTGTAGAGTGGGTGTAACGATTTAATTTAGTACCAATATCAATTAATTATTTGTATGATCGTTGTATATTGATTTAAAAAAAATCAGCATGTTATTGTTACATAATAATAAAAACTACAAAAAAAAAAAAATTATACATTAAATAAAAAAAGTGTTTTTTTTTGTAAAACGCAAAATATGTTTGTTTGAATAAAAGTGTTTTTATTACTAAATCACCAATCGTGGTGATTTATCTATACATATATTATGTTTGTACACAATTAACATGTTGTTATGCTTTGATGCGCTCAAGCTAAAATATGTCTCTTTTGTGTATTGGTTTTTTTGTGCGATAACTGCTTTACAATTACTGACAAACAGCTAATTAAGTGGCAGGTAAAATATCAATAACGTGATTTAAACGTTGCATAATATTTTTATTATGCACATTATATAAGTTGATGATTAAATCATTAGTTTGTATTAATTTGATTGGTACAAGCCTTGGATGATTCAAAAGAAAATAATTAGCAAATGTATTTGTAATGGCAATAGCAAATACCTTCTGATGAGGTGGGCCTAATGTCTGTTTATTTATTTTATTTCATAGGTATTATGTGAGAAGTTATAAATATTACACTTTTTAAATAGTTGGCAAAATTTTAAGCAAACTTCTAGGTTATAATATAATATAAAACTGAGAAAACACTACACATACATAATATATGTAAGTTAAGTTTTAGAAGTTAAAGATATTTATATTAGAGTTAAAGAGTGGTTGAACGAGACGTAGACACAATATTGTTGTTTTATGCAATAAAGAGATATCATTAAGAGTGAAGAACAGTTTTAATGGAAAGAGGGCATCGAATAAGAAAGGTTGAAATGCAAATATCGAGATGGCATTCTATACTGTGTTTATACATTATTTTGAAGTAGTTTAGACCGAAAAACTTAGATATGCCATCAAAGTATACAAGTTTAGTCGATAAACAATTGTTTTAGAATAAAGTTTGGAACATGTGAGTTTTGACATCAAAAGATAAATCAAAAATAATTGTTGGTACGTTCACAAAATTAATCAATGTTTTATATTATTTAAAACATTTTAACAATATTTAAAACAAAACCATAATGTTTTTCTTAAAATCTAATATATGTAAATATTTAAAAATTATTCGGATTCAAAAAAGTTCAATATCATAACTCACAGGTTCCAGTGGAACTTGTTGGCATTAATTCTAATTGCTACGTTCAATGATACCTATAGCAGCGGTACACAATATGTTCTCAATTCTAGCCTACTCGTGTAGTTGTTAAAAATCCTACTGGTACCACTTAAATTACTAATTAGTAAAAAAATCGTTCGGTAATACAAAACAAAGTATATAATTTAAGTTTTTGTACCTAGATTGGTTATTAGAATTTAGAACTATTGCATTAGTTATTATCATTATAAATGAATAATTAATTGTAAACACAAGCGAGGCGCTCGTTGTAATACGTTTCTGGCGGATTCGTGTAATATATAATATTATTTTTTTTTGCAAATATTACAAATAATTTAACGATTTGAAATATGTCCGATCAGGGTCAGATCGGCCTTTGTGTGTGTGTGTGTCTAGCAGTCGCTAATTTATCCTTAACCTAACCTCGCGTCACCTTTTGGACGAACGTTTCACAACAATCGGTTTTGGTCTGACAGAAGATAATATATTACCAGTACATAAATCACAGACAAAAGCTTCATGTACATCTACCATTTATATAGTATATATATATATATTTTTTTTTTAATCGAATATAATAAATTATACATTGGCGATAAATGAAAGTTGCTGGGAGCAAATTGTTTATTATTTTTTTTCCCTAGGCTTCTCTGCATTTACTATACCCAAACAGTGAAAGTAAGTATGTAATTCATATACTTAACATAGCTGTGCTGTTAACACCGTCAAAATATATACCTATGAATTATAAAAATTAAAATCAATTATTTTTATTCTTTATGGTAAAGACCGTTCTATCGAAGAAAACTCAAAATATGCTTTATAATATCGAAAAGTAATAACTATGTAAAACCTATTGTGCTATAAAAAAATAACATGAGTAAGTGTAGTGTCGATATTGTACGAAAAATTCATATGGCGGAGCAATGAAAAAAAACCATGTATTTATTTAGGCCCAATGATAGCGGCGTCGTAGACAAATGGTTATAAACTTTTATAAAAATTACAGCGATTTTATTAAATTATTTCTCGGTGAAATTAAATTACATTTTTTAAGGTGATATATTGTTTGACATGTTTCATTTTTTTTTTTTTAATTGCTTACCTAAAACCTGTGAAGAACGCTGGCTTATGCTATTTTCAAAGTGTATTAAACCCCTAAAATAATTAAAACTTTAATAAAAACTAAAAACTTCAGGGATTCAGTTTAAATTGTAAACTATAAATAAAAAAAAATTGATTTGATATCAACTAAAAGGTATATAATGCACAAAATCAAGAAGAAATGTTGCAACGTTGCAATGTTGTAATGTGTTTCTAATGAAATATTTTAGAAACACCAAATTTTATAAATATAACGATTTTAAATAATATGCATGAAATATGATTACTTTTTTTTTTTATCGATATTTTTCTAACTATGTCTTACGAATATTTTTCATAATATATTTTTAAACCTCTCATCCAAAAGCGGACATAGAACGTGTTAATGAAATACTTGTACCTAAAAAGTGATTTTGCAAATGTGCTAAAAAATAAAGAAATAATTTTCCCATCCTAGGCGGGGTTGTTTTCTGTTAACCAAGGCTCATTCGTCCGTTAAAAATAATGTCCCATTATCAACAGAAAATTGTATTCTTGCTGTAAAAAGTAGATTCTTTGTACAATACATTTCTTTTATTTTTTTTTCTATAATCGCGGTTTTTTTTTTATAGAAATACGAACATAGTATTTTGTGTTGAATATTGTGCTAACAACGCAACTAGTGTAGTTAGTAATATGGTTGGATAAATTAATAAATTTTCAATATAATTTTTTAATATTCAACCATCGTTATTGACGCAGCATGTCGTTAGACTTATTTACTCATTGATATCAACCACGAATCGTTTTAATATATAGTGTTCAATAGTCTTGGACCAATCGACCTTGATCGCAAAGCTGATGGTATTAAACTTTAACGTGAAATATTTAATCGAAACTGATATAGTGTAGGCTAAGACGTTGACGAGTATTAACAAATACTAATTTAAAACATCATTCAACTGCGATGCATTACAAACTATTCTTGAGCATTGCTATTTTGTACGGAGTGTGGTACATGGGACAGGCGGATTCGTTGAAGGAAATGTTAATAAGAAAATTGTATAGCATTGTGGCGAACTCCGGATGGCAGATTCTCAAATCTATGCGAATCATAGAAAACCAGGGCTTGTTGTCGTTGGCCGAATTTGCTTTAACCATTACACCGACCCTTGCTGACCCGGATGTGTACGACGCATACTGTAAGCTTGGTCGGTTTTTGGCCTGCAAGTATTTAAACATGGCCAGAGTGTTCATACAACTCTCGATGAAGATGACCGACGAATGCAGAAAAGAACGCAACGTTAAAACGTTGGGCGATTGCGTTAAATTGGTCGTATTGAAATTGAGTGAAACCGACAACAAGGTGATCTCGCGCATGTCGGCTGCCCTTATCGCTTTGTGCACCAACGATCAGGCATACTCGGTTGTCAAAATGTTTAAAACCGTTCATAGGAAGGTTTCGGAAATAGGCAACTTTGGACGACGTCTATTTGGATTCACATCGAGCAGTTCCACAGAAAAAAGCCTAAAAGATCGACTAAACTCTATCGACAGCAAGCTTTTGAAGGTCGACGGTAAATTTGCGAATTTCATAGCAGAGCATTGTTTCATAGAAAAACCCACTGGGGAAACAGCAAATCTTGATATGACCGACGAAATGGACCTGGTAAACTTATACGAGGGGACGACAGAGAATTTACTACCAATTTTGAGTAATCTCATCGATACACTAACCAATACAGTAATCGAAGAACTCCACAACAAACTCGGGTTTGAGTACAGTGAAAATTTAAAAGCCAGTGTGCTTAAGAATCCCTTTGCATAAGCTCTGAGCTCAATAGCATTGAGGTATGAATAAACGTAACCAAACCAAACAAATTCATTGTTGAAAGTGTTTAAGTTCTATTTTAACAGTAAATTTACGGTCTAATATATTAAAAAAAATATTTAAAAAAAATATAATTGAAATATTAATGTATGATTTTTCTTGTATCCTAAAGTTAACTAAATATCTTCTATATTATTTTATAATCGTATAATTCATTAAATATATAAACAATACAGCTTACGTCCTTTGTAAATTATTACAATATTAACCAAACTCCATAAATTTCTCTCCTTTGAAATGTCTGCTTTTCAAACCATTCAAATACTAATATGTATTACATCATATTTTGTTGAACAGTGTCAAATAACCAGAACTAAGAAAATATGTATACACAGTTAAACACAATGGTAACTGTTTTATACAATGAAGTAGTCATCGCAAATGCATTTAAGAGTTATGTTAGATATAAAGGCTCCAAAGTAGTAAGTTCTATAACTAATAACTACATAATATAAGTATGTTTTATTGTCCTGTGACATAAATGAATCTTTAGACGTTTTAAGTCTACATTACAATTATAAAAGGAAAATTATGTTTGAATACATCTAATTAAATATTTAAACAGAATTAATTTACGATAAATATATGCTCTGAGAAGATATATGAAATAGTATAACATTTAGGTATCATAGTTTTATAAGGTATACTTAATAAGATATTATCTTGTTAAAAGTGAATAACAAACCAATACTGATATCAACTAAAAGGTACATAACGCCCAAAATCGAGAAGAAGTGTTGCAAAGTTGCAATATTATAATGTGATTCTAATAAAATATCTTAGAAACACTATATTGATATATATATATAACACTTTTAATAAATATGTATAAAATATGATAACTATATTTTTTTCATCGATATTTTTCAAACTATGTATTACGAATATTTGTCATAATATTATTTTAAAACTTTCGTCCAAAAGCCGTCACAGAAATTGTTAACGAATAAGTTGAAAAAATTAAATCTAAAAAGTGATTTTGCAAATGTGCTAAAACTTAAAGAAATCATTTTCCTATCCCTGGAGGGGTTGTTTTCTGTTAACTAAGGCTCATTCGTCCGTTACAAATAATGTCCCATTATCAACAAAAAATTGTATTCTTGCTGTAAAAAGTAGAATCTTTGTACAATACATTCCTTTTATTTTTATTTTTGACTATAGTCGGGGTTTTTTTTTATAGAAATACGAACATAGTATATTATGTTGAAAATTATGCTAACAACGCAACTAGTATGGTTTGTAATATTATTGGATAAATTAATTGATTTTCACTTTAATTTTTTAATATTTAACCGTCGTTATTGACGTAGTATGTCGTTAGACCTGTTTACTCATTAATATCAACCACGAATCGTTTTGTTATTCGTGTTCAATAGTCTTGGACCAATCAAACTTGATCGCAGAGCTAGATGGTATTGAACTTTAACGTGTAATATTCAATCAAAACAGGTTTAGTTAAAGCTAAAACGTTGACGAGTATTCACACATACCAATTGGAAACATTATTTAAGTGCAATGCATTACAAACTGTTCATGAGCATTGCTATTTTGTACGGAGTGTGGTACATGGGACAGGCGGATACGTTGAGGGACATGTTAGCAAGAAAATTGTGTAGCGTTGTGGCGAACTCCGGATGGCAGCTTCTCAAATCTATGCGAATCATAGAAAACCAGGGCTTGTTATCGTTGGGCCAATTTGCTTTAACCATTACACCGACCCTTGCTGAACCGGAAGTGTACGCCGCATACTGTAAGCTTGGTCGGTTTCTGGCATGCAAGTATTCAAACATGACCAGAGTGTTCATACGACTATCGATGAAGATGACCAACGAATGCAGAAACGCATCCGATGTTAACACGTTGGGCGATTGCGTTAAATTGGTTATAATGAAATTGAAAGATATCGACAACAAGGTGATCTCGCGCATGTCGGCAGCCCTTGTCACTTTGTGCACCACCAATCAAGTTCAATCGGTTGTCAAAATGTTGGGAACCGTTCATAATAAGGTTTCGGAAATAGGCAACTTAGGACGACGTCTGTTTGGATTTACATCGAGCAGTTCCAAAGAGAATAACCTAAAAGATCAACTGAACACTATCGAAAGTAAGCTTTCAAAGGTCGACGATACATTTTTGAATTTCATGGAAGAGCATTGTTTCGTGGAAAGAATTACAGGGGAAACAGCACATCTTGATATGACCGACGAAATAGACCTGGTAAACTTGTACGAGGGGACGACAGAGAATTTACTACCAATTTTGAGTAATCTCATCGATACACTAACCGATTCAGTGATCGAAAAACTCCACAACCGACTCGGATTTCGTTTCAATGAAGTGACAAAAACCAGTGTGCTTGTGGATCCCGAAAATCGCATTAAGGTATGAATAAACGTAACCAAACCAAACAAATTCATCGTTGCAAGTGTTTAAATTCCATTTTAACATTAAACTTACGGCGTAATATATGAAAAAAACTATTTAAAAAAATATATTTAATTGAAAAATGTATGATTTTTCTTGTATCCTAAAATTAACTTAATATATTCTATATTATTTTATAATCGTGTACTTTAAATAAATGTATGAGCAATACAGCTTACGTCTTTTGTAAATTATTACAATATTAACCAAACTCTATAAATTCCTGTCCTTTAAAATGTCTTATGTATTTTTTCCGCTCTTTTTATCGCCATATTTATGTTTGCTAATTTATATTCATTATTTAGTAGTGCTTCCCGTGAATATGATTTCTCCTCCTCAAGGCGTTAGTTGTCGGCTAGTCTTACAGTCCTTGTAGCTATTGTGTGGAGTTAATCCATTTTTTGTTAAAGGGCAATGGTGTGAAGCATCATGTAAGTACCTGCGGTATGGGTTTTCTTCCTGTAAACCCCTGTACCTAAGTTACCTTCCGGGTTCTACCTCACTAGCACGTCCAAGAAGGGGAGTTGATCAAATTGCTCCGTCTCTAATGTGAAGCGGATATTTTCATGTATATTGTTTAAATGGATTAGGAGAATTGTTTTAATTCTTATTTTTTGTGTTGCCACTGCACAAAAGTGTCATCCACATATCAAAGCCACATTTTCGGGTTCAAATTGCTATTTTTTAATGTTTGCGCTTCAAACCATCCAAATACTAATATGTATTACATCATATTTTCTTATAACAGTGTCAAATAACCAGAACTATGCAAATATGTATACCCAGTTAAACACAATATTAAGCGTTTTATACAATGTAGAAGTCATCGCAAATGCGTTTATGAGTTATACTAGATATAAAGGCTCTAAAATAATAAGTTCTAAAACTAATAAGTACATAGTATAGGTATGTTTTATTGTCCTGTGACATAAATAAATCCTAATAAATCATTAGACGTTTTGAGTCTAAATTACAATTACACAAGGAAAATTATAATGCTTGAATACATCTAATAAAATATTTGAACATCACTAATTTATAATAGATATATGCTCTGAGAAGGTATGTGAAATAGTATAACATTTAGGTATCATAGTTTTATAAGGTATACTTAATAAGATATTATCTTGTTAAAAGTGAATAATAAACCAATACTGATATCAACTAAAGGTACATAACGCCCAAAATCGATAAAAAGTGTTGCAAAGTTGCAATATTGTAATGTAATTGAAATAAAATATCTTAGAAACACTATATTTGATATATATAAAACTTTTAATAAATACGTACAAAATATGATAACTATATTGTTTTAGTCGATATTTTTCATACTATGTCTTACGAATATTTGTCATAATATTATTTTAAGACTTTCATCCAAAAGCCGTCATAGAAATTGTTAATGAATAAGTTGAAAAAATTAAATCTAAAAAGTGATTTTGCTAATGTGCTAAAACTTTAAGAAATCATTTTCCTATCCCTGGAGGGGTTGTTTTCTGTTAACTAAGGCTCATTCGTCTGTTACAAATAATGTCCCATTATCAACAAAAAATTGTATTCTTGCTGTAAAAAGTAGATTCTTTGTACAATACATTCCTTTTATTTTTATTTTTGACTATAGTCGGTGTTTTTTATAGAAATACGAAAAAAGTATATTATGTTGAATATTGTGCTAACAACGCAACTAGTATGGTTTGTATTATTATTGGATAAATTAATTGATTTTCTCTTTATTTTTTTAATATTCAACAGTTGTTATTGATGCAGCTTGTTCTCAGACTTGTTTTTTCGTTAATAACAACCACAAATCGTTTTGTTATTCGTGTTCAATAGTCTTGGGCAAATTGACTTAAATCGCAGAGCTAGATAGTACTGAACTTTAACACGCAATATTCAATCGAAACATAAATAGTTTATGCTAAGACGTTGACGAGTATTCACAAACACAAAATTTGAAGCATTATTCAACTGCAATGCATTACAAACTGTTTATGAGCGTTGCTATTTTGTACGGAGTATGGTATATGGGACAGGCGGATACGTTGACGGACATGTTAGCAAGAAAATTGTGTAGAGTTGTGGCGAACTCCGGATGGCAGATTCTCAAATCTATGCGAATCATAGAAAACCAGGGCTTGTTATCGTTGGGCCAATTTGCTTTAACCATTACACCGACCCTTGCTGACCCGGAAGTGTACGCCGCATACTGTAAGCTTGGTCGGTTTCTGGCATGCAAGTATTCAAACATGACCAGAGTGTTCATACGACTATCGATGAAGATGACCGACGAATGCAGAAAAGTACCCGACGTTAACACGCTGGGCGATTGCGTTAAATTGGTCGTATTGAAATTGAGTGATACCGACAACAAGGTGATCTCACGCATGTCGGCAGCCCTTGTCACTTTGTGCACCACCAATCAGGTCCAATCGGTTGTCAACATTTTGGCAAGCGTCCATAAAAAGGTTTCGGAAATAGGCAACTTTGGACGACGTCTATTTGGATTCACATCGAGTAGTTCCACAGAAAATAACCTAAAAGATCGACTAAACTCTATCGACGGCAAGCTTTTGAAGGTCGACGTTAAATTTGCGAATTTTATAGCAGAGCATTGTTTCATAGAAAAACCCACAGGAGAAACAGCAAATCTTGATATGACCGACGAAATGGACCTGGTAAACTTGTACGAAGAGACGACAGAGAATTTACTACCAATTTTGAGTAATCTCATCGATACACTAACCGATTCAGTAATCGACAAACTCCACAACAAACTCGGGTTTTATTACAGTGAAAATTTAAAAGCCAGTGTGCTTATGAATCCCGATGCATAAGCTCTGAGCTCAATAGCATTGAGGTATGAATAAACGTAACCAAACCAAAAAAAATTTTCGTTGCAAGTGTTTATACTCCATTTTAACAGTAAATTTACATCCTAATATATGAAAAAACGTTTTTTTTTTAAATATTTGAAATATCAATGTATGATTTTTCTTGCATCTAAAAAAAAACTAAATTTTTATTAGTTTGTAATCGTGTACTTCAAATAAATATATAAACAATACAGCTTACGTCGTTTTAAAAAAAATTACAATATTAACCAAACACCATCAATTTTTCTCCTTCGAAATGTCTTGATTTATCACATTGACTTTTCTTTGGTTTACTTCTACCACTAAAACATCTTTACTAATTTTTCTTATCCGTTTCGCTAACAATATTTCTTCCTACTTTTAACAAACCCAAATAATTGTAATCTACATAATCGCTGTCATCTGTTTAGTAAACTAATAAAACAGTAACATTAGTAACGATTGCATATATTATTTATAAATTATTACACAGGTATACTTTAAGGAATTCAATTGATTATTCATATCAGTTCTTCTGTGGATTTGTCAATCATGTTTTTTGAAATAGCTATAAATTTCAGTGTCAAATTGCCATATTTGCATACTAGGAACAAAGTGAGCTGATGAAACGTGTCGATCACCTTCTTGTCGGAAATGCCTTTGGAGACATGTGCAAGGAAACTGCCGAACACATATAATTTGCCGCGCTCCAAGACAACAAGACCTTTCATCAACTGCCATCCGGAATTGGCCAAAAGAGCGGATAAGAACGTCATGACCATAAGCGGTCATAGAAATTGGTAATGAATAACTTAAAAAAAATATATTTAAAAAGTAGTATTGCTACTGTGCTAAAAATTAATGAAATCATTTTCCCATCCCCGGCAGGGTTGTTTTATGTTAACTAAGGCTCATACGACCGTTACAAATAATGCACCATTATCAACAAAAAATTGTATTCTTGCTGTAAAAAGTAGAATCTTTGTATTTTATTTTTGACTATAGTCGGAGTTTTTATTGAAAATATGAACATAGTAAATTTTGTTGAATATTGGGCTAACAACGCAACTAGTATGGTTTGTAATATTGTTGGATAAACCATATTTTCGCTTTGTTTTTTCAATATTCAACCGTCGTTATTGACGCAGCTTGTTCTCAGATTTGTTTTTTCAACAACCACGAATCGTTTTAGCTTCGATGCACAACGGCGAAGGTATTGGTTTTACTCTGATGTGGGCTCTGACTGTAACTTTTTTAATACTAGACCAATTCCTTCGAGTAGCAACTCTATAAATTAAAAATTTCATCTAGTTGATACTTTGGGGGGGGGGGGGTGGTAAAAGTTGAAAAGTTTACTTCTTCACAGTCGAAATTTGAAAAAAAAAACGTAAGAGTTTTTAAGTTAGAACTTTTACTGGCCATAATTTCGAGAAAAAGTCGGATTGAGTTGAAATTTATTAGGAATATATATTTGGTATGCCCGCACACGTCAGTTGTATCAAATTTAAATTATACCCATTTCTCACCCTCCTAGGGGGGGTACAAGTTTTTTTGAGGGTTTTTAGCCGTAAATTTTAAGACCTTTAAGTTGAAAATTTGCCAGTAGTTAGAACTCATATGTATCCATAACATATTAAACGGAAAAAAAATTCGGCACTACAGTTTTTCTTTAATTTCCGGAAAACTGTGTTTTCGCATATTGCGTACATTTTAACAAAAAACCCTAAAATCTCAAAAAAAAATGTATCAAATCATTAAAACAATTTTATTAATATCTATGCTGAATAATACTATTAAGTTTTGTGCTCAAGTACCACTTTTGACACTTTTTCACAATAACTTTTGCGATATAAAAATTATGAACAACAACTGTAGGTATCATACATTAATAAGTTTTAGCATTATACACTACAAAAACTACCATTACAAAAATATAATATATTTTTTTTCGTAAACAAGTTGGTTTTAAATGTATTTTGTTACGTTATTTGTGTACTTAAATGTCTGAACTATTTATTTACTTAAATTGTAGAACCATGTATCTTAGTAAAATATTCGTGAAAATACAAAACTTAAATATCACAGCTCCTAATTATAAAAAAAATA